CCCAATCAAACCCAGTCTATCAGGTGTGAAAACACCCTTATTTTCTTCAGTAACTCATAATTTGCAACTCATGATCGTTTCACCCTGGAACAATTAGAACTGATTTTACCCAATCGCTAACTTTTGGCTGTGACGTATGAATGTGCCAGCTCAATCGTGAACTCTATGAAGCTTATTGGGTCCCACCTCCACTGTTCTTAACAGAGCCAGCTGGAAAATTAGACTTTCTCCTTGGGGAGAAACTTTGCCAATAATAAAATGTCTTATACCTTCCTTTTCCTCCAACTTTAATTGCAATATTCGGAAATGTGACCAACAGAGATTGAACGACATTGTTCACTTTTTCCCCTGCCATTGCTAAAACTACTGGCAGACTGCAATTCTAAAACAGCGCAGAAAATCAGCGTTTTGTTCACAATTTCTCCTTTTGTTTGATGATTGGCTGATCTGGCTTAATGGGACAAATCCGTGACTGAGCACCAAAGGGAAAGGAGAATCGAGTGGAATTGCGTAAGAAAGGCTACCGGAATATGAACTCAAACTGCTGATCAAACATTCAAACCTCTGATGTCCTTGACGTCTGCTGCTGGCATCTTGAACAAAGATAGTCTGATTGCAATCATGAGCTAATCGTGTCAGGGTGAATTGTAGGCCTGTTTTGCTGCTGAAGACGAGTAAAATCTTTAGATGATGGATAAGGAATTTGTTTCCCTTTTAAAGTTTTCATCCTATTGTTAAGATTTTATTGTACCATTCTGAGGACTTTAGAAGTTAGCATCATGTCTAACTTCCAAGCCTTATTAGGTTTGACACACAGACACACATTGACATAGACAGACTAAATAGAACAGTAGCAGCTTGTGTCCTAGTGCTTATAGTGTGAGCTAATTTGCAGCACTTGTTCCTAAATGTGCTTTATATACAGTATATCTAAGAATTATAAGAAAGTTGATGATCAGAATGTGTCTTGTGTTGTAGCCAGTCAACAATGAGAGCAGTTTGGTGATGAGCAGCCAAACCAAAGATCACCAAACTAACTTTAAACTTTAGTTCGTTTGAAGTTTAAATTAACTTTAAACCTCAATTAACTTGAGGTTTAAAGTTAATTAGTTTTTTTTTCTCTCATGGACGTGTCATAGGAAAATGAATCTGATTACATGAAACTTTACTGCTGATAAACCTGCAAGTCACGTTATTGGTAGTCACACTGCTGTCTCACCTGACGCTTGATGCAAGGATTGATAGGGCAGAACACAGCTATTGCTCTTACTCAACCTTACCCGTTGTAAACCTCATATACCTTATCTTTTGACAGTGACATGGAAAGTGATAAGGTAATTGGAAATTGGGCTATTTGCTTCTAATTGCAGTTATTTGTGAGGTTGTAAAGAACACTGTGATTCCAATAAAAAGATAATCATCCATCTTTGATAAGAAAGCAGCTTATGTACAAAGATGAAAGCTTGGAAGATGGAGTCAGTGTTTATTTAAAACTTCCTCTTCTACTTTGACCTGGAGTTATGAATGAAATACTCTGGGTAACCTTTGCTTCTCCTTGCAAATATTTCTAAAATAACACCACAAAACACTAGCTGCTTTTCCATTACAAACCCCCCCCCAATTTTACAATTTCTGTGTTTCCATTAAATAAGAAATGAAATTAAAAGCGCATGTGAATAATTTTGAGTATGCGATAAGTCATTAAAAATCATGGCATGTAAACAGTTACATGAGTTCATAATTCAGCCATGCTTCTAGCACTTATTATCAGCCATTGGAGCAATTGGGGTCTTAATCAGTCGTTGGAGCTACAAGCCGCTTATACTTGGGAGTGCCTATGTATGTTGCGTTTTGGGGATATTGTAGGATATGGGTTAGGAATAATCTTGTTGGAATAACACAACTTTTTTGAACTGTGCAATGCTGTGAGAGCTCTGTTGGAGGCAGCTGCACATTGTCTGAAAAAAACAAAAACTAACCATCATTCTCCTATTTCCTCCTACTTCTCCTTTGTTGTTTTTGCCAGTAGTAACTTTGGGCTGTTTATCATGTGACTTACATGAAGCAAAAACATGTTTCCAATGCAGTTTTGCAAAATACATCTATTTTGATGTGGCTGAGAAACCACCTCATCTCACCACAAAAACCTTTTATTGAAAAAACTTTTTCAAAATTGCAGTGTTTCCCTTAAGCAAATCTATTTTCATGATTTCAATTTGTGCACGTTTATGGTTAGTGGAAACGCAGATAGTGATTTTGACAGCAAAAGCAATCGTGAAACCCTGGTGACTTACAGAATAAACAGTTTCATGAAGATCAAAGAACACACCAGAGATTTAAAGCAAGGTTAGGTTCTAAAGTAATATCCAATACTTTCAACATCTCACAGAGCTCTGTTCAATCCACTTGGAAAGAGCACGGTACAATTATAAACCTACATAGACATGGCAGATGGGAATAATTGGGTCATATTTATTTTCCCCACATCTTGGCTTAGAGTTGTTGAATTATGTTATTCACAGTGGGAGATCATCTACTGGACAAGCATTCACAGAGGAGAAAGTGTAGTTGGATGTACTCGCATGCTGTGTAAACGGTTGTGTTTTAGTTGCTGCATGTTGGATGATTTTGGCTTCCTCACTTGTTTTGGTGTTGTGTATTCCTATTATTAATAGTTGGAAAGCTTGTGCTCAGATCAGCAAGATTTGTCCGATATTTTCCTCCTAATTTACTAAATTCCTAGAAAATTCAACATTGGCTTCATTTACATGAGAGAAATGGACACTGGAAGTTTCTCTAAGGGTTTAGTTATGAAATTATTCCACTCAGATGACAGTAGACAGTGTCATTCTGTCTTAACCCATCTGGAAGCAGGTCCCATATGCAAAGAATATAAATCAGATTTTGTCTGTCATCTTCTTAAACAAACACATTTGTACTACAATGGAAAGTACTCACCTTTAATAATAGATTACGGAATGTTTCAGGAAGTTGTATAATCAGTGCCAAAGTGCATGAAAGCTCTTATAGCAGGACATCCATGTGCACTTTGTCAGGTGTGCTGCTTGTCACTGGCTCCCAGTGGTATTCCTATTGTTTACCCCTAATCGTCCTCCCCTCATTCCCACATCTGACCTGATTTATATTGTTTTTTTTTATCAGAACCACATGTCTGAGGACTGAGCCCTGTATTTTGCTGATGTCAGTTGTCTGGTTCTGAGCCTGAAGTCTGGCCTGAGGTCTCACAATTTGTTCTGCCAGAAAAATGTCCAGATCATAACTGTGTCTTATTTTACTTATTTGTCTTCCAAGTGTCACAAGTCATAAAAATCTTGTTTCTTGGGGTTTTTGGAAGGTGTACCAATGCAGTTTCCAACAGTCCCATTTTCTGTCGTGAGTCAGCAGAATGTTTTTAGTACATTTTTTTTTATTTTTTTAGCAAATGTTAGATAAGCCTTTGTGTTCCTTTCATTCAGTAGGGTTTGGGAGCTTAGAGTTTGCTCAGAGGCCTTTTTTTTGATGAACACAAACCTCCACTGAGTCAAATGAGACCTGCAGTGCTTCTGATGTTGTTCTCATTTCTTTTGTGACCTTTTGGATGAGCCGTCACTTCTCTCTTGGAGTAATTCTAACAAGATGGCTGCTCCATTGGCGATAATTGATCTAACTGGAGTTTCAAAACCTTAGAAATGATTTTCTAACTTTTCAAGACTAATGGACAATGACTTTGTGATATACTACTTATTATCAAGTCAAGAAAAGCTTACAATATAGATTCTACGTAGATGTGTTTCCATTACAAATGTACCCCAAACTTTATCAACATTCTGCTAATGCCGACAAAACACAATTTTGCAATTGTGGTGATCAGACAACAAATGCAATTAAAATCACATGTGAGAAAGTTTGCTCATGTGATGTTATTTAAAAAAAACATGCCGTGCTAGCATCCACCAACTGCTTATTGTCTTCTTCTTTGTAGGTTGCATCAGTGGCGACATCCGCTTGTTGATCATGTGACTCGTGTGATGCACAAAATGTGTTTCCATTGCAGTTTTCCAAAACAAACCAATTTTGGTATGGCCAAATAGCCACCAGCAATTATATGGTCAGTGGAAATGCTGCTAGTGGTGTCAGGCGGTGGAACTAACACTATCCTGCTACATGATCCGTTGAAGGGTGTAGAGGTGGCTTAAAGATTGACTAAGAGGCTCAACATGGACTGGATGAATAACCAACCTTGTTGGTCATAAGTCTGAAGCTTCGCCTTTATTCACACCAAATAAAAAAATAATCAGGAAGAAAATGTTTTCAACTGAAGGCAAGATATTAAAAAGTGCTTCTCCAGTCTCTCTTCCCCTCAACCCACACAGAAGAAACCAGAGACATTGCTCAGTCTGTGAGTTGGTGTTAAGCTAGCTTGAATAGATATAGCACATTACTTCCAGTGTCCTTCAAAATAAAGATGAGTTTTTTAATAAAGATGAAACCCATGGTACTTATGAAAAGAAATAATGATCAGAAATGAATACAACTTTTCAGGCAGGTTATACAGACAAGCCACATTCCCCCCACAACTTTGGCAGCTTGCTACGTCACTGAAGCTAAGCCATGTGAAGCCTGAGCTGTTGCTCTTTGGCTTTTCTTTTCTGTGTGAGTATTGGAGGAGTCTTGTCAACGTTTACAACAGTCATCAAATGTTTTCCACTGGTGAATAGTCTTTCTCTACTCTAAATAATGAACTCCAGATATCTGCTAATGGTTTCCCAGTTTGATAGACAGCAATAGTTGCTTCGCTGAGGTCGTTGCTGACGTCTTTCCCCCTTCACAGCATGTTCACATGCTTGAAAGCAGCTCTCCATGTAATGACTTACGTTTCCCATCCCGGTTTTGCAATAAGGATTTCCTCCTTTCCTTTAGCATGTATAATGTTTGCATAATTACTGATAACAAAAAATCCACATGAATTTTATCCCCCCTGTGTGACTTCTGTTTTGTGTGTGTGTGTGTGTGTGTGTCTGTGTGTACAGCTCACAGGTGTCCCTCTGAATGTGTCCATACGCCTACAGCTTAACCTCTACATGAAGAGAATATCAGGAATTATGTAAGACTTATGAATGATCACATTGTCCATTTTATCACCTATTGTTTATTTTACTGTCTTGTTATCATTGTAAACACTCCCTAGTTTAACCCTGCTTTCTTTGTAGTGGTGTTTGAAGTTTTATGTTCTTGACCTTGTAGAGAAACTGGAAAGATTTCTGAGGTGGTGATGCCCATGCTGTGGTTTGAGGAGGTAAGCTGCTGATGTTGTGCATCTGGAGAGGCTGATGCCTGCAGATCCAGTCAATAAATTAGAATGTTATAAAAAGCACATTTATTTTACATTTACTTTAGGAACTTTGTCACATTTTGTAGATTATTTGCATATAGATGGATGTTTGAAAGTAGATTGGGCGACATGGACTTAGAATGTTATCATGACATTTTGTAGTGCTATTGGAATAACAATAAAAACTATATTATGACAAAAGGGTATTTATTAGTTATTTTTCAGGTAACTGTATGTCAGTTGAATACATGTCACAGCATTCATAGCCCCACAGACACAAATGTTGTTGAGAAACTTTCCCATTTCAAATATGTTTCTTCAGGATGCCAAAAAAAGTCTGACTTGTATCACTAAATTGCACACAGTAAGTGCATTTATCCATATTTTTGAATTGAGTCATATTTATTGATGCTCTTGTGGAAAACAAAAGTAGAGAAAATTGTAAAACTAACATTTCCAATTATACTTCCAGTTTTATTTTTTTTAATTTTTTTTTTTATAACCAGCACCTGAAATTGATCAATGATAACAATAAATCAAAATTTGTAATCCCAGGAGAGCCAGCTGCACATTGTCCAAAATAACAAAAACAAATCATCCTCCTCCTACTACTTTCTGGTGTTTTCTTTGTAGTTTTCACCAGTATCAACATCCACCTGTGATCCAAAATACATTTTTCCATTACAGTTTTGTGAAATACATGTATTTTGATATGGCTGAAAAGCCACCTCCTCCCAGTGCAAAAGTGTTTTATTGAAAAATTTGTTTTTTCGAAATTGGTGTGTTTCCATTAAGCAAATTTATTTTTCTATAATTTGCACAATTCTGTCTAACAGGAACGGAGCAAAGCTTTGACTTTTCATAAATTGTAAATCTCTTTTTGGTTTTTTTGAGCAGGTAAATGGAAGTTCCAGGATGCAGAGTGTTTATTTCGTTAGTGTTTTTTTTTTTTCTTAAATATGGGTAAAATAACGAGAATTTTTTTTTATTTCTGAGCCAAGTTGAGAGTAAAACAGTTTTTGCATCCTTTTCGCCTTTTTGCCTCTGCAGAACGGATACATTGATGGACCGATCCTCACTACGTTCCACACTAACCTGGTTATTCTCCCTGCTGTCATGGAGTACATGCAGTACATCTTCATAGCCCTCGGCCTGCTCACCACCATAGTGGCCGCCCTGGTGTATTACAAAGTCAGGGTAAGAATCCCCCATAGCCAGCTGCTGCCATTGATACTCTGCCTGTGGCTCGCTGCATGTTTTTCAACTAGTGGATGGAGGAAAGGAGCAGGAGAGACTACACTGAGGCTCAATGGAATAATTAGGCTTTTCATAAATGCACGATATGCTGAGGATGGACAGTATAAGTCTTCAGCAACTTAGTGTATCTGTCGATTTTAGCCAGATGCAGAACAGGCAGATTTATGGGAATTATTTTCCACAAAGGAAAATATTTCCATCACAGCTGTTACTGAAGATGTGCAGTCGCTCCTGCTCCTTCCAGGATCATGCTTTGTTTGTCTACAAGTTGAACTATGAACCCTGCTTTGACTAACCTGACAAGGAGAGTAAAAAGTCCAAATCTCTCCCGGGTTGCTGGCTGTTAAAACCCCCCCACCCCAGCTGCTCCTGATTACTCTTCCTGCCTCTTTATCTCATCATCGTTAGCTCGTAAATGAGAGCATATCAGTTATGGCTAAATTAGTGGGCGACATTACGCAGTAGTGTTAATCAGAAAGGCCAAAGTCATCCGTGTTTTACACACAGCTGCTCTCTGATTGGACTGCTGATAGCCGGACAGGAAACACATGAGAGCAGATTTGGTTCTGCTTCTGCTTTGTTATTGTGTTCTTTACTGAACATGTTTGTAGTTGTTTTAGTAATTTATAGCGCAGACTAATGACATCATCACTGATGAATTACTGAACGGTCAAAAACAGACAAAACGAGCTAATGGAGTCCATCAGTAAAGTGTCCATCTTATCTCTGTCATTCCTTTGTGTTATGAAACAAGTCATGTGTAGTGTTGTAAAATAACATGAAAAAGCTTTGGAGGTTAATAAGTAAAAGTTCCAATTTAGTTGGTGTAATGTTAACAGATTACCTTCCTCTGCAATTTTTGTGGTATGTATCGTATTTGTGGCAGACAGCCAGCAGCATGGAAAATAAAACTAAATCTAATATTTTACTGAAATCTCACACTGAACTGTAAAAGATTTGAATATGTTTGACAAAGGTTCTTCATTTGCTTACAGAAGTCTAGAAATAGAGCTGCGACTTCTCTATTCTTTGAGAATTCTTGGGTTTGTACAGCCGCCTCATACAAATCATCCAAATTGAGAAACATTGACTTTTGAACTTTAATGAACAAATTGATATGAAACGTATTTTTTAAATTCTCTTTCCAAATCATTGCACCAGTTTTTGATTGTCAGTTAATCTGGGACTTTAAATGGATAAAGACAACATCGTAAAATAGAAAAAAAGGCCCCATGGCAGCTTTTCGATAACTTGGAAGTCCCCATAATTAGGCTTGGTATATTTTAAATGTATATTTGTTTCACTGTGAAGCAATAAACTTTCAGAGCCATTCTTATTCACAATATGAACAGTATATATAGAACATAAGGACTGGGGGTTGAACCTCCCCTCCAGTAGGAACGGACAGTTATCAGGTTCAGCAGGGTGAGGATTCCACCAAGTGGTGCCAAAAGGTTTTCTTTAGTTTCTGTTTCAATATTGTACAAGGAATAATATGGCCAGTCCTTACTTCTGTGAAATACAATAGTCATTAGTTTATTAAACTTTTCATACTTCCTGTAGTGAGAAATAGACCAGAGAGGCATCTGGGTAGAAATGACAGCAAAACATAATGTGGCAAATGAAAAAATAATTTAATTATATGTTTATCTTAATCTTTTAAGTAAGTAGTTATTTCTAATATCACAGTTTTCAAAAATCTGCAGAATGTGACAATTGAATAATTGATGGATTAATTGTTAATCTATCAATTAACAATTAATTATTTGCAGCCCTAGTTCACAACACATTCACAAATGTCCAATTATTAATTGTTTAATAATTGGACAGCAAAAGGTGCTTAATCCAAAAAATAGTGAACAGAAAATATGTGTGCTGCAGATGCATCCTTTGCTACAAATGATCAAGCATTCACTAAAGGACTGCAGTACATTTTAGGCAATAAAATGTTATCTTTTGTTTAAAAGAGAAATTGACTTTTTTACAGTAATTTGAAACCATCGAAGCTAAAACTGTGGCACTTGTGAGGTTTTGGATAGAACAAAAGATTTTTTCATGTTAAATGAAAAATTTATACATTTATTGTACAGGTTTGGCATACTTGCTGCTCTGAAAGTATTGTTTTTTTCAGCAAATGACACATTTTTTGAGCCTGTACACTCCAGTTAACAGTTAATTGATTATTAAATTAGTTGACAATTATTGCAATAATCCATTCATCACGATTAAGCCGATTAATCTTTTAAGCCCAAGTAGATTTGGCAAGTTGGCTCAATAAAAATTTATCAACTCTTTGTATTTCTAACCTGGTAGTTTGGAAAGAAAAGTAATGAAGCCACAATTGCTGCCTAATTGTGATTAAGTTCGGCTGGCTTTACCTGCAATTTTATTGCTCTGCTGTTTTGGGAAGCACAATTCTGCTGAGGCTTTTAAAAAAAAAAAAAAAAAAGAACACCCCCATGCATTATTTCGTCATGGCTTTAATGCATCAAGAGATTTCCTTTGTTACAGATGACAAAAAAATAATTTCCTTTTTCCGTATCCCAAGCAGTCCCACAGTATAAGTATAGGAATACTTGTAAATAAAATCTTTGAGTGCTGTGGAGTTTGATTGTTTTAGAAGACACTAGAGAAATTACAGGATGTACTCTAAAACAGGAAGAACCGAAAATAAGAGTAAGAATGCAAAGTGGGGAAGTCACCTCAGGAAGGGGCTGCAAGTCACCTCAGGAAGGGGCTGCAGCACCGAGGGGATCCAAGGTGCCTGTGAAAAATCTCATAAATGATCCTCCAATAGAATTTGTGCATCATATCTTCTATAATTATTTTAAATCACTGCAACAATTTCAGAGAAATGTGTCCTCTTTCAGTGTGTCTGAAATTTTTATGTAGCAAAATGACCCAGTTGATTCCTTAACATACAGAGTTGCATCATAATTCATATATAGACTGGTCCTAACGACCACTCTGCCTGAAGTCCTTCTGACTTCCGACTAATCATGCCTGAGATATAACCAATTGCCTGCCCTCAATTCACTGCATGACACACTCAATCACCCACAGAAAATAATCCATGCATGAACAATCCCTGAAATCTCTATCTGTATTACAACACTATTTCTTTTCTTTGATATTTTCTAATTGGCCCGTTTGTAAGGCAATTTGATCATCTTTTAGGCAACCAGTAGTGGGCAGGGTAAAGACTCACATGGCTTTGAAGCACAGGACAAAAGTATGAGGTATTCAGGTAGGTTCACATTCAAAGGCATACACGTAGCAAACGGTACATTGGGAGTGATTACTAATGTCCAACACCTGCAGAGGAAAGGAACACCGTGTCTGCTTTTGTTTTTCACGAAAACCCAATTGAGTTTTGTGTCACTGTTGCCGTCTATGTTTTCTTGCATGATGGTAGCTCTTCCACAGGGGGCAACACTGGATCTGACCTAATCATTCGCAAGCAAACTAGGTTAGCGCTTGGCTAAAAAAAAACCTAGTTAGGTTTTTAGCCAAACCAAGTTAGGTTTGAAACAATCTTAGCATGACCACAGAGGTAAACATCCACAGTCTTCCTTATCTCCGTTCTCAGCAGTAACAGCCATTCAGTGCCAAGGAACATAAACATCGCTCCTGGATTCTCTGCTTTGTCAGCAGGAAAACAACAGCAGTAGAACTGTAGTCTAAATTAGCAGTACAGCTGTCGCACTGTTAAAAATTTCCCTTGCGTTTCAGTGATGTACAAAGAGTAGATGGCAGCGCAGTATCAGCGTTTTACACATCTGATACTTCAGTTTGATCCCCTGTTGAATCTTGTTGTGTCACATCTGTGTAAATTAAGCAACCCCTGCTCAAATAAAACAACAGAGAATGATAATAACATCACTGAGTCTCAGTCTGCTCTGATGAAAATTCATCCCAACCATATGCCAAATGATTTACATGCTCCCAACTGATAGCGGTCCAA